CTTTTTGTTGGGGGGGGGGGGGGCTCCTTCCTTTAAAGTTTGTCACCCCTGGGACAAATCTGGGTGGGTGGGTTGGGCAGGAGGCACCTGCAGGATGGGGGGGATTTGTTTCATTGTTTGATCCACGCTCAGGTCTCCCCCATCCCAACAAGGAGCATTTTGGGGGGGGCTGGGGGGTTCCAAGCTAGGTGATCCAGCAGCCCCTACCCCTGGTGAGGGGATTTGAGTCTTCCAGAGGGTGTTATTTTGTAGGGAAGAGGAGCTTGGCAGCTCCTCATTAGTGCTGCCAGCCCCAGGGCCTAATTGGGGCTGGGAGGTGAAGCCCCTTGGGGGGGTTGGGGGGGGCCTGCCTTGGCATCCCCCTCCCCAAAAAGCCTTGGAGGGGGGAGAGTCAGATCTCCAACCCCCTGGGTTGGATCCTGCCCCAGCTCTGCTGTGTTACCAGGGGCTCCTCAGCCGTTTGGTTCTGGCTGGGGGGGTCTGGTTTTGCCCCCCAGCTCGGGGGGCTCGGGGCCCCCTCCCCTGCCAGGCACAGGCACTTTTGCTCGGGTTATTTTTACCCGCTGGGATGATGAGCAAGAGGGTGACCTTGTGCAGGGGACACTGGCAGCTGGGGGAGGGGACACAGACACACGGACACACAGACACAGACACACACACACACAGACACACGGACACACGGACAGACACACAGACACACACACACAGACAGACACACGGACACACAGACAGAGACACACACAGACAGACACAGGGACACAGACACATGAACACACAGACACAGGGACACACGGACACAGACACACGGACACAGTGACAGACACAGGGACACACAGACACACACACGGACACACACACAGACACACACAAAGACACACACACAGACAACAGACACAAGATGTTTACGGACACACACATACACAGACACACGCACACACACACAGACACATGGACACACAGACAGACAGACACACAGACACACACAGACACATGGACACACACACACAGACGCACACACACACAGACACACACAAAGACACACACACAGACACACGGACACACACAGACACACACAGACACACACACAGACACAGGGACACACAGACACACACACCCAGACACACAGACACACACCCAGACACACACACACGCAGGGGCAGCCGTGGGGCTGGGAACTGGCTGTTCCCTGGCGGCAGGGCAGAGGTTTGTGGAGAGGCCGCTCGTGGCCAGAGAGAGAGGGAGGATTGAGCCCAGAGAGAGGAGCCCCTGGTGCTCCCACACAGACAAGTGGGTGGCTGAGCCTTTGTCTGGCAGGAGAGCGAGGCCCGGGAGCCGCCGGGGATCCCGGCCTCTCTGCACCCTGCGGGGTCACCTCGTCCCCTGCAGCCCCACGGCGGGGGCGGGCCGCAGGGCCATTTGGCA